TATGTGTTTCTGGATTCTGTTAGCTAGAATCTTGTTAAGGATCTTTGCATCTGTGTTCATCAAGGAGATTGGCCTGTAATTCTCCTTTTTGGTTGGGTCTTTGCCTGGTTTGGGGATGAGTGTGATATTGGCTTCGTAGAATGAGTTTGGGATAGCTCCCTCCTTCTCTGTTTCTCTGAAGAGCTTGAGGAGTATGGGTATTAGTTCTTCTTTAAAGGTCTTATAGAATTCTGCTGTGAATCCATCTGGTCCTGGGCTTTTTTTTGTTGGAAGACTTTTGATAGCTTCCTGTATCTCATTATAGGATATTGGCTTATTTAATTGGTTAACTTCTTCTTTGCTCAGTTTGGGTAACTTGTATTTCTCTAAAAATGCATCCATTTCCGCCAGATTTTCTTCCTTTAGAGAGTATAGCTTTTGAAAGTAGTCTGTTAGAATTGTTTGGATATCTTGGGTACGTGTTGTGATGTTTCCCGTGGCATCCCTAATCCTATTAATATGGGTTTCCTCTCTTCTTTTTTTAATTAATCTTGCCAACGGGCCATCAATTTTGTTTATTTTTTCAAAGAACCAGCTTTTTGTTTGGTTTATTTTGGTTATGGTTTTCTGATTTTCTAATTGGTTAATCTCTGCTCTCAATTTGGTTATCTGGCTTCGTCTACTAGCTTTAGGTCCCATTTTTTCTTGTTTTTCTAGCTGTTTTAGTTGCAACATGAGATTATTTACTTGGTCTGTCTCCATTCTCTTGATGTGGGCACTGAGGGCAATAAATTTGCCCCTCAGGACTGCTTTTGCTGTGTCCCACAAGTTTCTTTGTGAGGTGTTTTCATTTTCATTGAGTTCTAGGAAATGCTTTATTTCTTCTCTGATCTCTTCTGTTACCCAGGCCTTGTTAAGGAGTGTGCTGTTCAATTTCCATGTATTAGAGAAATTTCTGCGGTATGCTTTGTTATTGAGAGCTAGCTTGATTCCACTGTGGTCAGATAGGATACAGGGGATTATGTCGATCCCTTTGTATTTGCTTAAGTTCCTTGCATGAACTATGATATGGTCTATTTTGGAGAAAGTTCCATGAGCTGCTGAGAAGAATGTGTACTGTGTTGTTTTAGGGTGAAATACTCGGTAGATGTCAGTTAATTCCGCTTGAAGTATGGCCTCACTTAATTCGGTAGCTTCTTTGCCAATCCTCTGGTTGGTAGACCTGTCCTTTGGTGAGAGTGGCGTGTTAAAGTCTCCTAGTATTATCGTATTGGGATCTATTTTATTCTGTAAGTTTGAGAGCATTTGTTTAACATATCTGGGTGCACCGATATTTGGGGCATATAAGTTGATGATGGTTATATCCTCCTCTTGGATTGTTCCCTTTATTAATATGTAGTGTCCGTCCTTGTCTTTCTGTACTGATTTTAATGAAAAGTTTATTTTGTCAGATATCAGGATAGCTACACCTGCTTTCTTATTGGGGGAATTTGATTGGTAGATCCTTTTCCACCCCTTCACTCTGAGTTTGTTTGTATGTTTGGCTGAGAGGTGGGTCTCCTGAAGGCAACAGATGGATGGGTCTTGTTTTCTGATCCAGTCCTCAGTTCGTTTTCTTTTAATTGGCGAATTCAGCCCATTTATATTAAGAGAAAGTATAGAGAGATGCATTGTTGTCCCTGCCATTCCGTTTTCCTAAGTTTTTCTTCTTTCCTTTCCTCCTGTGCTTGCTCAGTTAGACTTTGAGTAATGCCTGTTTGGGGCAGGTCCCAGTTCCTGGTTGCTTTCTTCAGGTTGTGTCCCCCCTCTTAGAATTCTTTGTAATGCTGGCTTAATGTTTATGTATTCATTTAGTTTTTCTTTGCTATTAAAAGTTTTCAGTTCTCCATCGAATGTGAATGCTAGCTTTGCCGGGTATATCAGTCTGGGTTGGCAGTTATTGGCTCTCAGGGCTCGTATGGTGCTTTCCCAGGCTTTTCTTGCATTCATTGTTTGTGTGGAGAGATCTGCAGTGATTCTAATTTTTTTCCCGTTGTAGTATAGCTCCTTCTTCATTTTTGCTGCATGCAGGATTGTTTCCTTATTATTCAGATCCATCATTGTTACTATTATGTGCCTAGAAGTGTTTCTCCTGGGATCTTGCTTGTTGGGTGTTCGATAAGCTTTTGTGATGTAGTTAAGATGGTCGTTTTTGAGGTGGGGAAAATTTTCATTGACTATCTTGTTAAATAGGTGTTGCATTCCCTTGCTCTGGAATTCCTCACCTTCGTCCACTCCGATTATGCGAAGGTTAAATTTTTTAGCATTATCTGCTTGCTCTTGAATTTCCCTTTGGTTTAATTTGAGTGATTTTTCCATATCTGTCACTTTTTGGTCCAGTTGGTGTATTCTGTCTTCTGTATCTGACACTCTACCTTCCATTTCATTCACTCTGTTGACCGTGGCTTCTATTGTGGTTTGCATGGTGGAAATGGATCCCTTTATGGATTCAATGTTGGTTCTCAGAGTACTGATCTCACCTCTCAATGAGGTGATATCAGTATGCATTACCTCTAATTTGGCGTTTATCTCACTTCTTACTGAGGTTTGTGCAGCTTCTATTTTTGCATCCAATTTTTGTTTGATATCCTGTATATCTTTTGATAGTTCATCCTTGTGCTCTTTCAATTTCTGATCCATTTCTCGCTTTATTTCTTGAGTCATTGCCTCCAGCAACCCTTGGATGTAGTTTTTGTCTTCCATTCCTGCTTTGCTCCCACTGGGGCTCTCCCCTGCGTGGCTGCTGGCTTTTGAGGTGAGCTTGCTGTCCTGGGTAGTGGTAAACCTTGTGATTTTTCTCTGTGATTTTCGCATGGGGGTTCAGGAGACTGCTCTTCAATCTTGTTTTGGTGTGTCTGTCTTTGCTTGGTTGCTGATTCTGTATTGGTAGAGAGAGTCTGTGCCTGATCTGGATTCTGTTGGGAGCCTATTTCCAGCTGCTATTCACTTAGGATTCTCAGCTCTCTGCTGTAGCAATTCCCGCCTTTGGAAGGGTTGAGCAGCCTAGACTGCTTGTGTTTGCTCCTGCGGGTGCTCTTGGGAAGATCAGATGCTCTGGATGCACTCTCCCAAATACTGGAGTCTGCTATGGGCTCCTGATGTGTTTTTGTTTGTTTGTTTTGGGCTGGTTGTGGGCTTGAACTCTAGGTTTGGGTGCTGTCCCTCAGCTCTTCAGCTCAGGGCTGGCACCCTACCATTTGAGCCACAGCCCCACTTCTGACCCTTTTTGCTTTGTTCAGGCGCCGGTCCCCTGGCCTGGTTCCGGCCCCAGCCTGGAGCGCGCTCGTTAGGCCTGTGCTAATGTGTATACCACCTTGGTTATGCAGCCTGGAGGACACAGTTCAAATTTCTTCTACTGTTGGTAGTCTTGACCCAGGGGCACTGTTCCTGGCTTGAGCATTTAAGCTCCCTTCCCGGGGCGCTCTTGCTCTGGCCTGGCCAGCAGAGTGTGCTCCACCGGCTGGTGGGGCTCTCGAACAGTTCCCAGTTTTAGTGGGTCCTGTGGTCCGGGTGTTGGGGTAGGGAGTCTAGGTCAGGGTCTGGGGATTCCCTCCAGCTCTGGTCTCCCTTGATGGATTCCCTGTCCCCTGATGGGTACTCACCCTGTAGGTCGTCAGTTGTTGTTGCAGTCCGTCAGTTGTTGTTGCAGTCCGAGTTCAGTTGGGGTGGTTGCGGGCTGGGTTGGGCGGCCCCCCGCCGGGTCGTTGCGATCGCGATTGGGCGGGTGGTCTGCGGACAGGTCCCTTTGTGGAGCTGCTGGTGCCGGGCGGCTTTGGCGGGATGGAGCCTCTCCGCTCCGGTGGAGAGTGATGGGTGGGGTGGGATCCTCCTGGAGACTCCCGGCTGGTAGGTTTCTCTGTTCCTGGCGATCCGCTGTTCTGCAATCCGGTACCTGGTGATCTGCAAGCAGCCCCCTGTGTCTCTGTGGCTCCAGCAGCCCCTGCCGGGCCGGCTGGCCGGCGGCTTGGCGCACTGCCGCGCGGCCAGTAAAGGTTGGGGGAGGGGTCTTCGCTCTTCTCTGTTCTGAAATTCTTCTTTTCCTCTCTTTCTTTTTTTGTTATTTTCCACCTCTGGTTTTTCTCTGAGTGTTCGTCTTTTTGTTGTTGTCGGTCTCTTGGGGAGATTAAAGGTTGGAACTCGAACTCTCTTTTTGGTTGGAGAGAACTGTGGCGTTTCCCTACTGCCCCGTCGCCATCTTGAGAACTCCTCCTCCCTCGTTCACTTTCACAACCTCCTTCCTATAGCTGCTCTTGAGTTGCTTAGTTCACTTTCATCAATGTCTAGTGCAGCTGATTGGCACCTCTGATATATTTTTTCACTCATTTCCCTCTGATTCTGTGCCCTCCTCCTAGCTTCCCTTAGATGTGCACGTGTATACCATATGTGAGGTCAAGTACATAGTCATTTAAAAACGATGCAACAGATTAAGAAGAGGTCATTTGTTTCTTGAGTCCTGTTTTCTTTGTCCTATCTCCTTGCGTTTTGGATTTAACATCCACATATCAGGGAGACCACGTACCATTTATCCTCTGATCTTGATTTATTCTAGTTCTATCCATTTCCCTTTCTGTTCTTTTGTTTGTTTGTTTTCACTTAGTATTTGCCCATTTGCTTGAGGGAATTATTGCTAATTAGTTGTTGGCATTTAAATATCACATTGACATAGACTATGACATGAATGTTTAATTCTCTAATGTTATTGTCAATTTTATGAAGAAATTGAATCTGAATTTTTTGTTATTATATAAAAAGCTTCTCTCTGTAAATAGAATATCATCTATCTGTCAAGTATGTGTTTGTTTTTCCAGTCATAAAACAGAATTTTAAATTGCTAATTTGAATATTTTATAATTAACAATTTTTATAATTAATCATGAGAATTAACAATTATAACTAATCATTTAAATAACATTTATGTTTTCTAGGTTATACTTAGATAGTGCAACTATTTCCCTATCTCACATTTTTTCTTATATGTTTAGCTAAAATTGACCAAGAAGCAGAGGAGACTTCCTTGACAGAGACACATAAGTGGTAAGAAATTGCTTTCCTTTAATAATTATATTTCTTCTCATACTATGCTATAAAGTGGTTAGTATAGTTCATCTCCAGGAAACAAATATTGGGTAAATTTTTTTAAGTATCAAAATACAAATTTAATATATTAGTGTGCTTTAATTTCATAATGAATGTCTGAGTATATTTTCATCTCTATATGAATTATAATTCTTTTAAATTATTGTAAATAAATTGATAACTTTTCTTTCTAATCAGATTGAGCACTAGTGAAACAGTGAAAGAAAGCAAGAACTTTATTTTAATGAGTTTGGTATAGAAAACTATTGTTTTCCTATATTAACAATAAAATTAAGGGAGAGAAACATGAGCTTCTTTTGGTTGGCCCTTCCCACACAGAATGGAGAATTTTTTTTAATATATACTTTTTATTGTAGAGATACTGTACAGAAGGGTTATAGTTACATGAGTAAGGTAATGAGTACATTTCCTATCTAGCATTGTTACCTTCTCCATGAGTCTACTTTTTTTTTAATGTTTTTTTTTAATTGTAAAAGTACTGTACAGAGGGATTACAGTTACATGAGCAAGGTAATGAGTACATTTCCTATCAAGCATCGTTATCTCTGCCTTTGTTTTCCCCCATCCCTTCCCTCCCACCTTCACAACTACACCCCCCCACCCACCAGCCTAAATTGTAAAGTTCATTTTTCAACATAGTGTCTTATACATCTCATTGTTACAATGGGTCAACCTGTATCCCTCTTTTGTTTTTTCCCCTTCAGAATGGAGAATTTTTTTATCAGACCAAGCACAGAAAGTTCATCAGAAGTCCCCCTCCTCTCATTCAAATTTTCTTTCTCTCTTAGGCAAATTCTCTGGGAAAAAATGTATGGTGTGTATGTGTATACATACATAGTTATATAGGTATTTATAAGTACATATACATTATATATATGGTTGATATATTTATTTATTTTTTTTTAATTTAATTTAATTTTATTTGTGAACATACTGTACAGAGGAGTTACAGTTACATGGGCAGGATAATGCGCACATTTCTTACCAAGCATTGCAGCCTCCTCCTTTGTTTACCCTTCACATCCCTTCCCAGCCTCCCCCCTCCCCCCCCCAATCCCAATCCTTCTCCTTCCCCCCCCCCCCCCGCTATGGTTGATATATTTAAATTGATATCTATGTCTATAGATAGATAAGCAGGCAGGCAGGCAGACAGACATTGGAATCATAGATGCTGCAAGTATCAAATTAGCTATACAATCTGACAATTCCAGTAGAGGCTGATGTTGTGATCCTGAGTATGAAGCCTGATGACAGTTTGGGGACAGAATTCAGTCTATTTGAATGCTGAACCTAAGGCCTATTCTAACTAGATAATATAAAAGAGAAGTTGCTTTTTATAAATTCTAGTGATTCAAATGTTAGTCACATCTAAAAATTGATATCCTAAAAACTAGACTAATGTTTGGCTCATAAATTATCCAAGTTGATGTGAAAATTAAGCATCACATTCACTAGAGAAAATTTATTACTATTTAGGAATTTTTTTTACCAAAAATGTTGTCATTACTGTCATTACCTTCTGTGAACAAATGCCACACTCCATTCTTGATTTGATATAAAATATTGTCCTAGACAGATTGGTTAAAAAAATTGCCCATTTTCTACAAGAAGCAAAAAAGTAAAGCAAAAACCTGACATTAATAAGAAAGACAGACACATTTCAATTCATGGTCATGACAAAATTGTAAATTAAAAGAAATGAAAAACAAAACAAAAACAGAAAATACATTTTAAAAGCTATATTTTAAGTCAGGAATGAAAATAAGAATATTAGTTAATAGCAGATACTTTACATTCTATTTGTTCAACATTTTCCCAAATGTATATATCTACAACTTATCAACATTTCTATGTAACCTGGGAAATTTCAGTAGTAATTCTGTGGAGGTAATGCACGATAGAACAAAGCTCTTAGAAATGCAAGGTACAGGAGCAGTAAGCAAGCTTGATGAGATTGGCTTGGAAAGTAGACAAGGAGAATGAGGGAGAGAGATAAATGCAGTGAATTTGATTAAAGGATTTACATAAATGAACATATCCAAATGAAATCCCCTACTACAGTTGGAACTAATAAAATGTAAAATACAGATTTCAAAAGAAATCAGGTCACATGCTATATTCTTTTCCAGAGTATAGGCTTGTATCCATAGGCTTGTATACCAGCCTCAGAGAGTATACTTCTCTTGCTAGGACTATATGTGTAAGACATAGAAGCATTTCAGCCTAGGGTGCTGAGGACAACTTCTTCGCCAAGATGGCTGGTCAGGCTCTTCTCAGGAATGATGAACTTTGGCCCAGATTCTAGAGTTCCATCTTCATTTTATTCAAGTCTGGGCAATTTTATGGACCTTAACCCCAATAATAGAGCAACAGATGTGTTTTCTGCCTATTTAAGCATTTTTAGGACCTAAGGTCCTATTTTTTTTTCCATGATACTCCCTTTTTATGTTTAATTTAGCCAAAGATCTCCTTAGCCAAGACCCCCTACCAGAATGGAAGTAAGACATACACACAATGTATTCATATCATTTCAGTAGCTTCAGCAAAGCCAAGAGAAAGAGAAAGGGGGTGAAGGGGGGAGAAAGAAGAAAACAGGGATGTGTATTTCTTCAGGCAGAGGGTTTCTCATTCTTCCTTCCATTTGATTTGTTATTGGTAATCTCATTTGTTTCTAACAAATCTCATTGGTTTCTCCCTGGCCTTTTAAGTACCCGCATTTCAGCTTTCCATTAGCCCTTTGACCTTAAGACAGAAAATATAGAGCCATTTTAGTTCTTTTAGCATGTTGAAAGGCTTTTAATCCAAGGAATTTTCTGTTTACATTGTTTAGTAAATCTACGTAACTATATTCATTCTTAAGAAAATATTTGTCACAAGACAAATTTCTGTGTTTGGACTTTTAGAAATGATGAAGAGCTATTTATAAATAGCAGAGTAAGGAGTTCAAAGCATCACACTATCCTGCCTTTGCTCAAAGCATGATCATATAGTCACCAACCGAGAAACTTTTCCTATATGTAAAGAGAAGTTTCACTGAGGTTTACCATGTGACTTAGCTTACCATGTGTTCATCACATTTGTGAAAGAAGGAAGGACAGTGTGATGGGTAGAGCCTGGCATTTCCTCTGAGCCCAGCCCCGTCACTCCACGAGTACAATAGCATAAACCACAGGAAGTACCTTGACCTCAGCTTCCTTCCTTGTGAAGAGAATGGAACCTTTGCTTTTCTTCATTCTCTGTAGGAAGGAGCTTTAGGAACAAGGCTGAAGGAATGGGACACCTTGCTCTATGTAATGTGGAAAGCTGCTTCTAATAGGACTGTAAGAGGCCTTACGAGAAACCTTATCACGTGAAAACATTGTGAAAACTTCATACACTCATAGAGGAACACACACACACACACACACACACACACAGAGTATATCAGCTTGCTGTTAAAGAAATTGCAATTTTCTTCTTGTGTTCTATGACTTTTGCACCAAATGCTGGAGCACCACCTTTGTCAAACCAACCCTAGTATACTTTAAATCATGCACAGATTCAAACACAATGATGGTTGGAAGCTTCAACACATCATTATCATCAATGAAGAGATCATCTAGTCAAACACTCTATAAAGTAACCTGAGTTAGTTGATTGCAGTGACTAACTGGATCCAGTAGACAACTACAAAATATTTTACCAAGCAACTGCACAGTACACATTCTTCTGGGCAGCCCATGACACATTCTCTAAAACCAGGCTTTTATCAAGAAAATAATTACTGCTGTGTATAGTAGATATTGCATTTTTCCAGATCACTTTATAAGTTCATAACTGAAGATATTTTAAAAAAAGCTTAGTATCTATTTTAAAGCAAGAGCTATCTTTTCTTGTGGTTCATTTATTGCCATTATAATGTCATGTGCTAATTCTCACTGTTTACTCATGCATTTTTCTGTTAACTTAAAAAGTAGAAAGTGAAAGTCCTGTTTAGCTAGAATACTAATATGTGATTTTTGAACGCATAGTTTGAAGTTCTCAATTCTCCCAGAAATTGAAATGGTGGATGAGACTTGAAATACATGCAAAACTCATAGGAATTCAATGAATATTCTCTAATCCACATTATTTCATTGAACAAGTTGTACTAGAGGATGGAGTGGGAACAATGTTGTTTAGATTAGATACAGTCCCAGTATATATTTATGTTAAGTTCTGCTTTTCTTTTCTTTTTAATCAACATACACTGCTTACTTCAGTTGTACTATCAAACTAAATGTGGTTGTTTTTGCTTTTCTACAGAACTACTTAGTATTCATGTCAGCTCATGAGCAAAAAAATGCAGTAGTTTTAGATTTGTCTAAATCCACTCTCATTCTTTTGCATATAAATTTAAAGGATAGGGAGACTGAGAGTAATAAAATCAACTTAACCCAATCTGAAATCTTTATTAACTTATAAGTTATAGCTAACTTCAAAATGTTTTCTGGGCTTCTTTATGTCCCACAGATGAAAACAATATCTAAGTTATAATTAAGTTTTGAAATAAAAATGAGCAGATTTCAGAAACACAGTTTATTCCAGCTATACATTACTTCAATTTCATTTTATTTTAGACCTGAATAAAAATCATATAAATAATTAAAAAATGAATGTACAGCTTTTTGATTAGAAAATTTACATATGTCAGTTAATTTAGCTGATGTTCTAGACTGAGGGATGAAATGCTCAAAGCTGAAACAACCTTCTTGAGTTAAACGCAAGCAAGATACAGGAACCTTCTTCACCTCTAAATGGATATTTTGTTTGTGATTCTTTCTGCCTGCTGAAGTATTTGTTTTGAAGATGCTCTGTTTGACAGGATATATGTGTACTCACATACGTGTACATGTGTATACATAAACAGAGACTGAGACCATGAGTTCAAGCCTCAGTATTGATACAGAAGCAAACCAAAAAAAATCCATAAATCTTTTCCATTCTTCTAAAAGCTAAAAACTATAATGGTGTGTGTGTGTGTGTGTGTGTGTGTGTGTGTGTGTTTGTGTGTGGTGTGGTGTGGTATGGTGTGTGGCGTGTGGTATGAGGGATTGAACCCATAACGGAGAAAGTATTAGCAAAATCATATAGGAGAATAAATTGCCAGTCTCCAGTGGCTCGCGCCTTTAATCCTAGTAATCCCACTTAGGAGACTGAGATCTGAGGATTGCAGTTTGAAAACCAGCCCAGGCAAGAATGTCCATGAGACACGTATGTCCAGTTAACTGCTAGAAAACTGCAAGTGGTAATGGCTCAAAGTGGTAGAGTGCTAGCTTTGAGCAAAAAAGCTCAGGGACAGTGCCCAGATTCTGAATTCAAGCCCCACAAATGACAAAAAATGAAAATGAAAAAAAATATTTATTTATTCTTTAAAATTTTTTCCATCATGGGGCTTCAACTTAGGTCCTGGGTGCTGTCCCTCAGCTCTTCAGCTCAAGGCAAGTGCTCTACCACTTGAGCCACAGCGCCACTTCTGGTTTTCTGGTGGCTTATTGGAGTCTCACAGACTTTCCTGCCAGGACTGGCTTTGAACTGCAATTCTTAGATCTCAGCCTCCTGAGTAGCTAGGATTACTGGTGTGAGCCACCAGCACCCGGCTAATTATTGTCTTTATAAGATGATGATTTGACTCATCATTTTGACTCAGCAGCTTGCAAATATATTAGACATATATTATAGAATCTTTTAATTTAGCTACCTAATTAGTTCACCTGCTTATTGATGACACAAGATCTTTTTCTACCTATACCCAACTAGTTTAGACTTAAAATCTTTCTTCTTGAGTCTCCCCATTGCTGGGACTACAGATGGACATCACTGTATGGTGTATGGAAGCTTTTTCTTCCTCTTTCTCCTCTCTCAATTCTTTCTTTAGGACAATTAATGAGGTTCTCTCTCTCATTTAGCTTCAGTATTAGCAAAGGCATTTGAAAACATTCAATAATCAAAGGCAAGAAGTAGTAATGGAAGAAAACACATTCGTGAAATAACATTAAATCACACATTAAAAAATGCTATTTCTGCCTATAATATTGCTTCAGTGGTATTTTGCCAAAAGAGAGACTGAATAATAAATGTGCTAAAATGGAAAAATAATCTCTCATGTAGTATAAAGACAGAGCAAGGAAAAGAGGAATGAAGTCAAAGGAATGTTGGTTCCGGTAGCTTCATATAATATCCACTGTTTGTTCATCATAGGAGAGAAATATTTAATCAGTCCTGAACTGAGGTACATGTACTTTCTCATGCCTAGTGACTTTCACAGTGTCAGTTTGTAAAGTGTTTATTCAAGGAATGGACTTCTGGCACATGGGTAAAATGAAATGTTTAGTTCATATTAGGCATATTTTCCAGAATCTTTCTGAGTAACTATTGGGAGATGAATAGAAGACTACAGGTCTTTGTTTATCTGTCTTCTGCTGGCAGACCACTCAGGCTCCAGCCTGGTATTAAAACTGAAATGACATGGAATATTTCTGCAGAATCCCCAAACAAAGACATCATTCCCTTCACAATATTGATAACATAAAACAGATTTAGTTATTTCCCAATGTGGCTTTCTTGTTTAACTACTTCAGGGCCTGCTAGAAGATATACTGTTTGCAGACCACAGGAAGAGGCTTCAGGCTTCCTAGGATGAATGCGAGAAATGTGGATTTCATGCTTTTTACTTCAGGCCACGTGGTAAATTTTAGAAGCCACACTTTTTGGACAAATGAGTTTTCTGTAGCTGTGTTTAGCTAAATTGTTGCGAAATCCGTTGTCCTGCAACACTATGAAGCAGGATGAAACCCTTTGTCAATTATGCCAAGAATATTATGGGGTGATGGTATTTCCTGAAGTCTTTCTTGTTTGCTCTACTGCACTCTGGATGGAAGGAACTCTGCATACTTCAGAGAATGGTAGGGTTGCCTTCCCATTTGGATTGATCATTACCTTGGCAAGTGCATCAGAGATTTTCTGATTCTAACAAAGTTTGATCGTATAAAACAGAAACTTCCCTCTGTAACAAAGATCACAAAGATCTACTCCAAGTCCTAAGAGGCTAAAACTCCTAAAGCTTTTGTCTATAAACTAAGAAGAAAAAGTATTGAATTACTATGGGAGATTTTAGTCACTGTATTCCTGAAATGCATGCCATCAGAAATAAAGAAAAGGAGAAATACTTTGACAAAGAAAGGGCATGTTACTTCCTCTACTTTGTCCACGGATTTCCATCTTAAAATGCTGCACTTATAGTTTTCCCACAATTAGTAAGTACAGTAACGTGCATCCATTTAAGAAGATACGGGTTTTATAATGTAAATATTCTTACAGTTAAAAAGAAACCCTTCAGCGTATGCAAAGATCATTATGTACATTCATCAAATTTTCTCTTTTCAAAATGGCAGTATCCTTAGCTTTGTTGCTCCTCCAGCCCTTCTTTTCCTGAGGAAATGAGCTCATTTTTCTTCTTTACATTAATTTCAAAACCTTGCCTCATACACTGTCCAGCCAGGGGTCATCACATGAGCACATGTCTCCCACCCAAAAATTTACAATAATAGTCACTAAGGAAACACAGACTTGAGTCACTAGGGACAATTCTTCCTCACAAATACCAAGAAGATGCCATCAAGTCGTTCTGTTCTGCTTAGTAGGTCTAAAGTACTAACCCATCTCCTTATTTTAGAAATGAGAAAACAGACAGGCCAGAGTTCCCAGACCTGTCCAAAGCCAGACAACTTGAGAAAATAAGTGATAAAATCTGGATTCAAAATGAAGATAATTTTTCAGAGGTGGTTTTAACCAAAGCACACATCTGCCTCATGTCTGACCCTCTTGAGCCTGCTTCTGGATTCTGGAAGCCTCCTGAGAAAGAAACCCTTGTGGATGAATCTTTATTAACATAGATCTCTGTATCTTCTAACCAAATGAATCATAACAAGCCTTTGAAGTACATCTCCAGTTTCCCTGGTGAAATATATAGATGAAATCATCTTCTAGTTTTAACTGCTTCATATTTTTATTGAAGCCGCAATTTCCAATTTTTTTCCTTTGTTCAGAAAATAAACCTTCTACAGTTTCGCAGACTACAGCATTGGATGGTATCTCTGGAATATATATGTTAGCATATTTTCCCAAGTTTTATATACACAAATGGACTTAAGTCATGATTATATGATGGTTAAATATACTTGATACACTCAATCACTGAATTTTACCCTTTCTACTTTCTGTTTTGTTCCATTTTTATTAGCCTCAATTAGGTTTTTTTTTTGTTATATGTTTGTTTCATTACCAGTTATCTTGAAAGAAAATGTAGTTTTAGTCTTTGGCCAGGCAAAACTAAAATTCCATTTAGATTACAGATTCTAATCAGAGCGGGGTGCAAGAAGCAGCCATGTAAATTCCAGCACTACTGAAGGTGGTGGACATTTGTGTAGACCATCCGTGGGGATGACAGCCATAACTCCTGTGTCTACAGAGAATCACTACTCTGTCCCAGCTTAGTTTCCTTCATTTGTTAGGGGATTCAGTGCAATCTTGGATATATGGTATGTAACACCATAACTAAAACTTCAGGAAGTGTAAAGCAAATACAGCTTTAATTTTCTGCTAAGAGGATGCATGTTTCTCTTTTCAAACATCAGTTCTTTTCAAAGGCACATGGCTTCACATGGTTCCTCTTCTGCCTTCTTCTCCTCCAATCAGCATTCTCCCATCTGGGTGAGACCACAGTCATACTGTCATTACTGGTCACAGAATCTCCCAAGGAAAGCATTGGCATATTTGCTATGAAAATATGTTTTAATCCCTCTAGTCATACTGTGGTATGCAAACTTGTATCTATACTGATTTTGAAGGAAAAAAAAGGTATTCCTGGCACTCTAAACCCTATATATATTAGTGTATAAATGTATATAAGTTTTGCGTGTACTATCACAAGATTGCCCACCCACCCCCATTGTATATTCTTAAACTCACTGAAACAATCTTCAAACTGCCTGGGAATTATTTTACAAAGACATGAAATATTTCTTTACAAAATAGTTTATTATTAACTCTTTTTTATTTGTTTGATTTTGGTTCTAGGCTTTACATTGTTAGCATGGGTGTTTTGAAGGGAATCTGATGGCTTCGTGGAAATTATGTGATTTGAGGATTCTGTGATTAAGGAAAAGAGACTGGGAGTACTGAACATGTTTTTCAAAACTAGATTAAGAAATGGATAAATAACTAGCCAAAAGATCTGACTCATTCTGAGTTTAACAGTCCACAAGAAAGAGAATATTGGATGAAAAAAAAACAACCCCAATAATATGAGATTATAGTCAGAAACCAGTGATTCATGCCTGTATTTCTTGCTACTCAGAAAATTGAGATCTGGAGGATTATATTTCAATATCAGCCCAAGCAGAATAGTCTTAGAGACTCAAACTCCAAAACAATCAGCAACAGCCGTCTGGAGGCATCGTTTAAGTGGTAGAACCCCAGTTGAATGATTAAGGAGAACAAGCTCAAAGCTCTTAGTTTAACTACCTCCTTCTACCCCATACTGTCAAAAAAATGAACAGAGATCGGAAACCTTGATAAATCACAGGAAGAAGGAAATTTAGAAGGATAGATATTGCAATAATGACTTTTTTTTCCCTAGGTATTTTCGGGGCTGTTGTCAATGACTATCTAATACAGCATTATACATGAGTCTTAAGGGCCCAGTATGGGTGAATCACACCTTTAATCTTAGCTATTCAGGAAGCTGAGCTCTAAGGATCATGGTTCCAAGCCAATTTGGGAAGCGAAGTCTACAAGACCCTCATCTTCAATTAACCACCAAAAATCTGGAAATGGAGCTGTGGCTCAAGTGGTAGAGAGCTAGTGATCAAAAAAGATCTCAGGGACATTGTCCAGGACTAGCACCAAAAACAAGAGTCTTAAGGATATATCTGCCCACACTTGCTCAGAATATCAATCTTCAGATCTCAGCTACTTGAGAAGCTAGAATTATAGCTATGAACCACTTGCAACCACTAGCTTTTCTACTAACTGGAACTTAAACTTAACTCTTTTAAAGCTGATTTTTTTTACTTTCAGAATGTAGTAACAACTGAGCAAAGATAGATATGAGTAGTATATGACATTGTAGTCACTGACATAGAGAACTTATAGTATACATTCATTTATAATCAAAACTAAGCCCCACAAGTTAGAGTATACCTGTAGTCTAGGCACTAGGACCGCTAAAGCAGAAGGACCTCAAATTTGTAAGCAACCAAGAATCCTATCTCCAATTAACCAGCAAACATGTGGAACTGCATCTTAAGTGGTAGGGTGCTAGCAGTAGGCCAGAAAGCCATGGGAAAGTGTGAGACCCTGAGTTAAGCTACAGTACCAGCCAGAAAAGAAAAGGAAAGGAAAAGAGAGAATGTCTTGAATGTCCCCACTGGAAAGTAATTATAGTTTTTATGTCCTGTGTGTGCTCTGACAGCTTTTTAGAGACTACAGCCTATTTTTTCATGAAACCAAAAATTGGAGAGAAGGAGGTTTCCCCAAATGTTTTCTTCAGTATCTGGCATGAATTCAGTTCCGACTTTAAAGACTTTTGGAAGAAGGAGAACAAGCTTATTCTGCAAGAGAGGTAGGTATGTTCATTGGCACAATGGCATTGAAAACTGATACTTTTATTATGTGTGATATAACTGGGATTGCCAGCATTTATAACATGGATGAAAAATTGCATGGCCTTCACCTTGGGGTAGCAAGTTGATGAGGGCATTGACATTTGGAGGAATGTAGTATTTGAATAAGAAGAGTGAGTCCAGAATTGTGAGAACACTGACAATAATTTGGGAGTGGGTATTCTGGGACCACTGTCTGTTAAAATATCTTCTGCCAAGAAGAAACTACACAGAAAGGAACTTCATACAAAGAACCCAGATAACCCTGTAGGATGATAAACCCTTTTACTTCTAAAGATGGAGAACACAGACTATCCAGATAAGGTGAATAGTTTTGTGTTTGCTTTTGCTCTGTCTCTGGAATTTTGTCAATATTTTACACAATATTTTATACAATATTTTACACAAAGGTCTCCCAGAACTAGATGATAAATATTACTGAAAAGATCTTTAAGATCCTGGCAGAATTACATGTGTTCCCTAAAATATATCTTTTCAAGAATAAAGGAACATTTTTTCTTAAGTATGTAAAATAATGTCTCTACCATTATGAAATTCCACAGTCATTAAATATTAACTTCTGAAAAAAGCTAATCCTCAAGGGCAGCCTACCTAAATAGTTGGGTCTACTGGGAAAATTAAAGAGAAATAGAAAAGCCTAATACTGAATTGAATAACATATCTCATAACATCCAGGAACTAACAAAGACCCTGCTTTGGATCTTTGAAGAAGTTATAACTTAAGGGACTAGGTTTCTAATCGGCACAACATTCCACAGCATTCTCCTCACTGTCTTTGTTTTGTTCTAATTAATACAAAACCATCATTTCCACCTAGCTTTCATTCAGAGGTAAGTTCTGTTATCTGATGATACTGATTGCTAATATTTATTGATCATGAGTGTTGTGGATGGGGAACAAACCATATAAGGCCCAAGTATCATTTGTTGCATGAAAGACAAACATGCTTCTCATTGGCTACTAACTCACAGCCAATAGAGGTCTGTCTACCTGTAATGATAATGATAATCATGTTTGACAAGTGAATTATATATATATATGTGTATATATATATGGCTATTGGTAAAAATATATTCCCCACCCATTGAAGTGATGGCAGACTTGAGCTCACTCATATAATCACAGGCAGGCATCACTTCCCAATGAGGACTCCTGCTGAAGAATGATTTATAGGTCATTTATGATTATTTGAGCATTACAGGGTGTTTACATGAACTAAGATTGCTATATATCACTAGGTAGTACTACCTGGGCAGCATCACATATTCAGGCACTTGTTTACCAAAATATACTATGATTTCTTAGATTCTATAGATTTGTCATAGAAGGAAGTATGCCTCAGGGAATAGCATATGGGAAAAGTCAAAGTTTAAATAGAAAATACTTTGAACACTAGTCAAGATACTGAACTGCATCTCAAAATTGTTGTAGTTAACATAGTTTGAGAATTTAGTCAAACATCCTTGTAGTAAAAAAAAAAAAAGTAACTCTCTAAAAATTAGTATATTTCGGGTGAAGACATGGCTCAAATTGTAGAGCATTTGCCTTGCAAATAGGAGGCCTCAGTTCAGTGAGTTCCTACTACTGATTTTTTTTTTAATTGTGAAAATACTGTACAGAGGGGTTACAATTACATGGGCAAGATAATGAATACATTTCTTATCAAGCATTGTAGTCTCCTCCTTTGTTTCCCTTTTCATCCCTTCCCATCCTCCCCCTACCCCCCCACCCAATCCTCCCCGCTCCCCTCCCCCTCCCCCCTACACCAAAGTTGTAAAGTTTTCTTGCAGCCAATTGAATCATTGCTTGGTTCCTTCAGCCTTTTATTAAATGATTTTTATTTTGTTTTTGTTCTTTGATCAAAAAAGACTTGTTTAGTTTAGACAATGTAAAGAAGATGGTTTTTTAAGGAAGAAAGTTTTTATAAGCTCAACATGTCGCATACAGCTTCCTTCTTTGGTTGCTAAGTCTTCATTTGAAATTTGAAAATCATTACTACTAATGTTCAAATGGAAAGATAAAATCACATCAACTCTGAGAGTGGAAACTTAAATGAGAAGGGACATGTTGTGGTTGAGGCATCGACAAGACAGGACTAGGTGCAAGCTCACTGTCCAGGTGCATATCACAGAAACAAGTGTGGCACAGCAAAAGGCTGGCAGAACAGAACAGGGACTGGGGCCACGCCTATTGTCACTACCACCTCATAGAACATGGAAGGTAATGGGATGCCTGCCATCTTGGAGACAAGGTTGGGACTGCCTGAGATTCAAGTTCCTATAAACACTCATGGCCTCTGTGCAACATGACTTTCAATGTTAGTAGTATGCTTTAGGCATTATCAGCAGCCATATCCTCTGTTTTATGGTACTGTGTACATATGAGATGCTCCAAACAAACTTTGCTTTACCTTTACCGAACTTATAACAGATTTCTCATAAACTGTTGGTGGGAATATAAAATAGTACAGCCACCTTGGAAAATAGATAACTCCTCAAATAAACACAGAGAGATGGGCAAAGAAACACAGAGAGCCTATAATCCTAGTTTCTTAAGAGGGTATGAATGGGAGGTTGAAGATAAGAGGATCATGGTTCAAGGCCAACACACCCCACTTGAATCCTTTCCCTTTCCCTTCTGAATTCCTAGTTATTAATAGAGTCAATACCTCTGGGTTTTGCTTGCTTCTTGTGCTTTAATGTGTCCTGCTTAGAAATTGGCACCCCAGGAAGCTGCTGGGGCATGGAAGAAAGACATTTTTAGGAAAAAAGTTTTAGAGAAAAGTCTTTAATATTATTCATCATGAGGATGCTGAAGAACTGGCTATAAATACACTGAATCTTAGATGTTGGTATTTCCAGTCAAGTCAAACATCCATTAATTGAACTACCTCATAACAAATTAGAATCATATCTTGTGTCCTTTGGTTTATTTAGGAACTGTTGTTTAAAATTTCCTTTAAAGTTAACTAACTAGAAACCATCACACTTTAAATTATATATAATATTTCCCATGCCTTGAGCTTTTTGGTATAATTACAAGTAAAATTGCATATTATATATATATTTATGTTTATGGTATTAAACTTAATGTTTTCAAATACACGTACATTGTGAAAAGATTGCCACAATTAAAGAAAATAAAGATGGGCACAGTTAAGCTAATTAACATATCTTATCTTGTTGTCTTTATTTTTTTTCCTTCTTGTGGTATATAATTTCAGCAACTTTCAAACAAGTATATAATATATGTTGGCTTGTTTTTGCCAACACTGAAGACTGTACTCGGTGCCTCTCACTTGCTTAGGAAGGTGCTCTACCACTGTGTCACACCTTCAGCTCCTTTTTCTGTGGGTTTCTTTTGAGGCTTTATGTTTGGCTGGGCCTGGGCTACAGTTCTCAAGCAAGTCACTAAGGAAGGCAGGATTCTGCCACTATGCATAGCCTTTAGTTGAGAAACCCTTCCCCAGACTTCTTTTTACCTTGAAACTCAATCCTTTTATCTCTTTTTTCCAAGTAGTCTGCATTCCAGGCTTGGGCCACTGAGCTTAGCTAAAATACATATTCTTAAGTAGAGCCACCATGCTGTACTTAGTCTGCAGACTTACTCATCATTTAACTGAAAGTTTTCAATTTTGTCTGTTTCATTTGTCCCATTTCCTAGAATGTTTTTCAATTGAAAATGAAGTATTGTAAGAGGTATGGGTTTGCTTTTTTCCCCTTGATTGTTTTGGAACCTTATCTTGGCTATGTAGTCCAGGCTGGAAAACACATCCTGAATGCTGAGATTCACAACACATAGCTTTACACCCAGCCTCATTTTATATTTTAACAGTACTAAGGAATCAGCTGTGGTAGAACACACCTATAATAACAGCTACACAAGAGAAAGAAGCAGCAGAATTCCAGCTCAGAGATCAGCTGAGGAAGAATTATCAGGGCTATTTCAAATAAATAAGTAAATAAATACATACATACATAAATAGCTGAAGGATTGGAAACATACTTTTATGTGTTAGAGCATTGATCTACCAAACTCACATCCCTAGTTTATTTACTCAGTACCACAGGAGTACTAATAGGAAGCCAATATATAATATAATTCCTAAAATGATCTTTAGTTTTTGGCAGCTTGGCGTATCTGATTTTACATTTAACATTTATATAGAGATATACTAGTTTTTTTCACTTATAATATCCTCATTTTATTTTATTTCACTTCATCCCGTTATTATTTACTTTGCCTTTGTTTTCTGAACAAAATCTGTAATAAGACATGTGTGATCCCTAACATCTTAAATGCCTCTCCTCGTTTGCAGAGTTTATTTAACCAACCTCATCTGTCATTGTATCTTGTTGCTCATGTTAAACATTCTCTAAATAATCCATCAGCCCTGTCTCTATCCTCTCCCACTTGGCCCTGGTCATGTTCCACCTCCAACTGATTACAGGGGACTCTCCCTTCCTTTAGAAGACCAGCAGTTAAGCTAGCCTAGAGTGTCACATACTGGCTCTCGATGAAAGAATAGATTCCTAGCCAACATGTCTCCACAGTTCATTGATCTCCCTCTTGAGAAAGACTGGTGTGTCTCCTCACTGAATCTTCTCTTGAATGATTTAAACATGTTGCTGAACTAAAGAAAGACCTGTTGTAGAATTGTGCTTACAGCAAGGGTCATTTTGAGAGTTGCTACTTCTGCCTTAACACAAGGGGGAACGCACATTTCTGTATCCATGTTCATCAAAGGGATGGGTGGGTTGTTCTATAGTTGTCTTTTTCTTTTTTGGTGTGTCATAATCCGCTTTTGAAATGTGTATAATGCTAATGTTCTGAGCCTTTCTATTTCAAGGAAAAAATTAAGAGTTCTATTTTAAAGGTCTTGTAGAATTTAACTGTGAATCCTTTGGTTGCTGGAATTATTTTTTGTTGGGAAGTTTTTGTATTACTGTGTCAATTCCATTGCTTGTTATATACCGATTTAGATAGTTTAGTGTTCTCATGGATTAATTTTGGAAAGTAAGGTTGTCTGGAAATGCAGTCATTCCTATTAGCTTATCTATTTTAAAGAGTTTTGAAGTATGTTTTTCACAACCTTGGATTTTGCTTGTGTTTATCATGTGATCCCCATTTTCATGTCATTTTGTTTATTGACTCATTTCCTTTCTTCTTTCTGTCATTTGGTTTATCAACTGTCTTTTGAAAGATTCAACTTTTTGATTCATTAATGTTTCATATAGTTTTTTGTAGTCTCTGATTCATTCATTTCTTCCCTAATGTTTAATTATTCCATTTCCTCTGCTGGTTTTGGCTTATTCTTGTTTTTCAAGAAGATTGATCTGCATTATTAGGGTACTAACTCAAGATCTTTTTGATTTGATGGTATGTGTGGTCATAGCTCTGAATGGTTGTCTTAGAATTATCTTTGCTGTGTCCAAGTGGTTCTAGAATATTGTTTTTCATTGAATTCACTGATTTTTTTCTCTCTCATTTCTTCCATGGCCTTCTCATCATTTCAGCCTGTTTAATTGTCTGTACTTGCTTTTGCTGTTAACTTTCAGGTTTATTCTATTATGGCCAGGTAAGGTACAGGGAATTATTTCACTTTTCTTGTATTTGCTGAGGTGTATTCTATGTCTAGGATATGATCTTTTATGGAGAAAGTTCCAAAGTTTTGCTGCTAAGAGAAATGTGCATAGTGAAGCTGATTAATAAAATATTCTGTGGATATTGTTAGGCCCTATGGTTTTATAATATCACTTAAATTAGAGGTTTCTAGTCAAGCACTGGTGGCTCACATGTAATTCTAGCTACTCAGGAGGCTGAGATCTGAGGATCACAGTTCAAAGGCAGCTTGGGCAGGAAGGGCCATGAGACTCTTATCTTCAATTAACCACCAGAAAACTAGAAGTGGTGCTGTGGCTAAAGTGGTAGAGTGTTTGCCTTGACATGGACAGCACCTAGTCCCAGAGTTCAAGCCCCATAACTGACAAAACAAAAACAAACAAACAAAAATACCCTAGATTGGATGTTTCTGTTTTGACTTTTTGCCTGAATAACCTATCTAGTTGTTTACTGGGATGATGAAGTCTCCTATTCTCATTGTTTTCAGCACTGTTTTTAAGCTGAGCATGTTTTGACAAGTTGGGTGCCCTAACATTTCAATCAGTAGTATCACACTCCTTATCAAAAGAATAAAAACCTTCAGGTGTTCCTTTGTATTTATGGCCAAGCTGCTGAATAAGCAGGTCAAATGGTGAAATCTAATTAGGTTACAAGATTGAGTTCTTCAATCTTTACACTTTTAATGTGCTATTACCAGTAAGTCTCCCTCAAGACTCCCCAAAACAGCTGTGCCACACTAAAGTATGTGTGATTTGGCAAAAATAGCAAGCAAAACAAAACCAAAAAACAACCAAAAACAAAAAACAAAAACAAAAAACCTGTGACAGTTCAAATTACTACTTACTCGTCCAGAAATGCCAGTCATCTTGCTAGAACTAAACAAGCGTTGTAATCTGCTACTTGGGAACACCATTTAAGTCAGCTTAGGGATCTGGTTCTCTCTGAGAGAAAACTGAAATTATTACAAGAAGATGAAGGGTCATCTTAAGCCAAGTGTGCTGGCTATAAGGAGAAGGGACTGGGCTGCCAGCTGAGAACAAAATAAAAATGTCCAAAGTCCACACAGAGGGAGCAAAGTCCAGAGTCCAGTGTGGGCACCGTAAACATCTCAGGAATTTGACAAGGGTGAACATCGTTTGTAGCACATTTATAACAGTGAACACAAGTTAAGAAGTATAAGTTTATATCAGCCTGTTCATGAAGATACTATTTTGTCTCAAAATTGGTTGTTTGTAAAGACTGGTATTTGAAGGGAAAAAAGTTTTCATTATCTGGGATTCACTCATTTACTCATTGTAATTTTTTAAATGAGCTTTGTCAAAGCTACAGTTTATTTTTGGACAAAGATTACTTTACCCTCTTACAAAGAAGGCCTCATTTCACTTAGTCTTCTATTGAAGGAATAAATGTAGACCTTTGATTTAATAGGCAAAGTTTTATCCATTCTGAAGACAATCAAGAATACTACAGAAAAATAATAACAAAAAATTATGGCTGTTAACTGCCATTTGGTATCAGTTTCTTCCTTTTAAAATGTAAGGCTCTGTTTCCTGTTTTTTAGTCTGTTTCCTATGTTGTAGTTTAGCTTTTACCAAAGTCACTAAAAGCAATTTGAGTGTTGTTTACTTTTATTATCCTATGAATTAATATGCTTATAGTTTCCTTGTACTGTGTAGTTGCTGATTAGAAGTCACATGTATGCTAATGACCTACACAGATGTCACCCTTAATGATTGGTTTCCATTTTAGTTCACTGGGAGTGTGAAACCTGGAAGTCCCCTTTATGGTAATATAACCACACTGAAATAAAAAAGAAGTATCTTTATGAACTATTCTCTGTCCCTGCACAGTATTCATGGATTCCTCTATACTGGAAGTTAGACTCAAGTGAGACAAAAGTTGGCAGGCTGTAGACTGATTGTTTCAGCCCGGTAACAGGCACCCTTCCCAATGTTCTCTCTGTCCACAATGACACCTTTTCTCTTTGTAAACCTAGTCCTGTTCTTTATTATTTCCTTCCTCCTCAAAAGGCATGTTTTGATATGGCTGTTTTGATTTCTAGTTTGAGAGCTTGTTCACACCATGCTACTTCACTTGTCTTTGATACAAATTTATAAAATGACCATGGGATGCATGGAAAGCTCATAGCCTTCAGTCATTATCCCTCTGCTGGGCAGCTGGTGGTATCTGCTTACTAGCCCAAGTGGGAAGATGCTGAGATCAACAGCTTCATACCATCTTCTCATCATTTTCCTTATTTCTTGTCAACTCTATCTTGTTATATAACCTGAACATGGGCACATTCTTTTTTTTTTCCTTTGTTCAATTATGGGGAAAAATGTTTCTTCTCAGAGTTGTGTTGAAATCTCATGAGTATTTGGAAACAAAGTAACATTTGCCAAGAAAGCTCAGAAGTGGTAGTCTTCACTAAGGGCTGAAGTAATCAAGGTTTTGTGGTCTGGCTTTGCCAACTGCTAAACAGGGAGCCTTATCCAGGAAAGTCATTCAGTTGTGCATATGGAATTCTGAGAGTGTTAATGTCTCAGTTACTAGGTGCTTTTTCTCAAGGTGGTGCTCACCGCATCCCCCCTATCCCTACCTTATCTGATTCTCCCGATTGCTGTTTCTAAGTATAACCTGGGTGGTTGAAGTCAGAATAGGTAAAAATTGGCCTAGAGAGCTTCATTAAACAAGTTCTCTATGAATCGTTCACTCCTGAACTGTAAGAGAGCAACTTATTCATTCTGCTGCTCCATTTGCCAGTTCTCACAGGTACCTTATGTCTCCATGTCTATAGGTGCTTAGTACGAGGTAACTGACATCCTAGTCAGACGTAGGAAACTGAGGCATCACCCAGAATGCCATTTTGCAATTAAACTCCAATAGTGTGGGATCTAATGGCAGTAGAAGGGAATTAGTCACAGTTCTCAAGGGTCAGAAGGGGGTCCTTTGACTCTTGATCAACTATTGCATACGTGCTCTTTCTTTTCCCTCACCCTCCATCCATTTTTCCTTTTGTAGTATGCACAATTGGGATTTCTCTTGAAACAAGACTCAACCATCAATAGACTCCAGAAAGATATCTTCATAACTCCTACCCACCAATCTAAAAATAACCTCCTTTGGAATTCAGCTATAGTTTATTTAAACTTAGGTGATTGTCCTAAACATGCAATTGTTATTTACTTGCTTATCAGAGGCTGAGGATATTAATTATTCTTACAAAGTTATTACAAGATCTGCAGCCAAAACCGGGGCTGGAGTCACAGCTTTGGAGATCACTGTCAAATGAATGGATGAGCAAATAGGTCCTGTGAGGATCCTTGACACACTGTCTCCTCCATTGCAGCTTTTGTGCCCTAAGGAGTGATTGGATTTGCTTTTATGTAAAATTAATGACATTTGTATTAGAATCAGCTTTCTATGATCCTTCCAAAGATGTGTTTTAAGAATAAAATAAATAGGGTAGAGAGAAGGTTGGGACATTAGGGGAGAATTAAATAGTTGTGAAGAACAATTTGGTTTTGTTTTGTTCTTAAACCACAAAATACTGTAAAGATCTCCAAATAAATTTAAGAGGGGATCTTTCTGACCTTTGCTAAATGCTGAAGTTTCCTTAATTCCCCATCCAAACACTTCAGATTAAATTTATTGGCAGATATTTCACAGGAAGATGAACATTCTTCCTCAGTTTGTTATAAAGAAAATGCTTTTGTCTTGCAAAGTTTAGGGGAAGGATTAAAGGCAATTTATAGCTTAAGTAGAAAGTGGTAACAATGGAGTATCATCCTTTTCTGGAATTACTAACAATGTCAACCCAGAAGGAATTTTTACCTCTAAAATGAATTATTTTCCTTTGTCCTGATTTCTGGTCCTCTGTGACATCAATATAGAGGTGCTAACCTGGACTCTGTTTCCCTGTTAATGAAAAGGATCCAGTCAGTTGTACAGGAAATAGATGTATCATCAGATCGTTTGCCATAGCGCTTAAGAAAGAAATAGATTCATAATGAATCTATTTCAAGAAATGAGACTACAATATCTGTATTAAATATACTTTCTTAAGATAAAGCCACAGCTTGTTTAATGTTCTAATGTTTTAAAGAAAAAAAAATCACAAGAAAATAAAATAAAACTGGTGTTGATGGCTCCTGTCTGCAACCCTAGCTACTCAAGAGGATGAGATCTGAGTTCAAAGCCGCCTTGGGCAAAAAAATCTGTGAGATGCCTAGCTTCAATAAACAATCCAAAAGCCAAAAGTGGAGGTGTGGCACAATTGGTAGAGAGCCAGCCTTGAATGAAAAAGCCAAGTAGAGTATGAGCCCTGAGTTCAAGCTCCAGGCAGGCAGGAAGGCACACAAGAAGGAATGATTCTTCCTCTTAATGATCTTTTTAAGATTCTCAGCTAATATATGTCTTACTCTTTTTATTAAAAAGATAATTATAACTTTTTATAGTCTTTTTTAATTTAAAAAGACTTTGTAAGTGAAATTATATTTTGTTTTTAATGCACTTCACATGTTACTATGCATAGTAAAAGAGTTATGCTTTTATACATGATGAGGCTTTCATTATTTGAAACGATTGAGGTTTAAAGGTATTACGATATTACTAGTGTCACATAACAATGCCCTCTGAGAGTTAATATCTCAACAAAATACTTTGTTTCACTGTGTGCTATTTTCCTTACAGTGTATGTACTAAATGAAAGCTTGAGAAGTTGTGGAAAAGTCATTGCTGCATCTTTCTCAATTAAAAATTTTTGTTAGCATGTATTAAGTCATGATGTCATTTCCACATGTTTCATATACTAGGCTTTGATCTTATTCACCCTTCTATGGCTGCTTTTCATCTCCACTAATCCTTCTTTTCCTTTCCTTCTTCCTCCTATTACCATTTGAGGTGGTACTACTCTATGGTACCTTTCTCTCCTCCCTTTCTGCCTCCCTCTTCCTTTTATAAGCTTACGAGCTTTGTTTCATTTTAGTTCCCTCGGTTTCCACAGACGAGAGAAGACATGTACTACTTCTCTTTGTGGGATTGTCTTACTTCATTTATGTTTTCAAATAAATGATAAAAACTTCCTTCACTTGATCATATTTAATGTTTACAGACTACCCCTCATTGTTGTAAAGATCTTTTATTCATAGGTACAGAAGCCATGGAAAATGAATTTCAAATAAGCATGCAACTGATTGTTCATATGCTGCTGTGATTCTTTTATTGATTCTAATTTTATGTAGTGGTGCTACTATCAATCATGTAATAGAGACAATCTCAGAATACTCTCCCTTGTACAGATGTTGAAAGCCTGAAGGTGAATAGGCCTTTATAGCTTTAACAGTGTATGTTTGGACATCAAGTATCAGATACTATTCTTCTTCTCCAACAATTGAAAGCCTCATTGAGTTGAGACTTGCTGCCTATTATAAGTCCAGTTATGGTCATCTATGTAAGTATTTGTTTAACTGAGTTATCTTCTCCCTCCTCAGAGTAAAAGAAGCTGAAGAGGTGTGTAGACAGAAAAAAGGAAAATCACTTTATAAAATAAAACCAAGGCATGACTCTGGAATTGTGAGTATTTAATTTTAATCACTTAATCCTACTTAAATATTATATATAAATTATACTATATAAACATATGTAAGAATATATATACATATGTAAATTGAGCTTCCAATTTCAAGAACCATTCTGTTCAGCCTCTTACTGGGCTCCAGAGGTTAGGATGAAATTGTTTGGTCTTTGAAACTTAAATATTCAGATGAATCTAAGCATAGGGTCTTATGTACTTTGTATGCTGAGAGCCAGAAGTCACCTTGCCCTTTCTTCATAACTCACAGGTCTTGGCCCAAGGCTGAATTTGAACCTAGAGTGGCTATGATGTGAGATTCCCTGCAGTGGAATCTTAAACAGGTTGGGAATAGCCACATACCCAGGGTTGTGCTTGGCCTACTGTGCCCAAATGCCATCTATAACCCAGTGGTCCTGACAGCGCTGCTGTCTGAAGCTGTCGATCTATAGATTAACTTGAATAGGCAGACCCAAGTTTCTTCCTTGCTCTCACTCATTTAAAATAGAATACCACACTGCAGACCCTGGGAGGGAAGGGCTTGACATTTCCCCTCTTGTGGTACTGGTGAGGTTTTGTAGAATGTTTTGAAGTAATCATGACTTGATACCATTGTAAGTAAATGGTATAGTTCTAAGTGAAAGTTAAACTAGACATCCAAGAGGAGCCTACTGAATTGGGTTAAGTGTTAACTGTCCGAATGGAAAAGATTTAAGATTTTAAGATTAAGAAAATTGAGATATGGTCAAATAGTCTTAGTTAGAAAAAGTGAGGACAACTTCAGTTAAGAACTATTTTCCACTTATCTGCAGTGGCTTGTGCCTGTAATTCCAATTACTCAGGTGGCAGAGATCTGAAGGATCATGTGATTCAAAACAAGTATGAGCAAAAGTTTAGAAGGATCCCATCTCAATAAAAAAAAAGCTTGATGTGATAGTATGTGCTGATGATTGTAGCCTTGTGTGAGGCCAAAATTGGTGGATCAGAGTCCAAGGCTAAACCCAAGGGAGAAAAAGCAAGACTCTCTCTGAAAAACAGCTAAGGCCACACAAGGCTGGCCCATGGCTTAGGCAATAGAGTATTCACTGTGTGGGCTATGAGGTGCTGAGTTCAAGGCTCAGTATTGCCAAGACATTAAAATAAATGGTATTTTCCTCTCAGATTTTCAGATTTATCTAATGACCAATTATTTTTGCACTTTTTTCTGATTGAAGTTGTACTGAATAAGGAGGAATAACTATTCATTGGCTAACATCATTCAAGCTGCTATCAGAATAGAAGAGAATTAAGTTTCATTGAACTTGGAATGAGGCAGCTTGGTTCAGATTTCATATTTATGTATTTGTACTTAGGATCCCAGGTGAGAAACACATGTTAGCATTCTTTGACATCAGTTAGAACTTAATTTGGTGTGAGGGGAAGGCAGCTGCAAAGGGCTCAAACTCAGAGAGCTTTGAACTTTCTCTAGCTTTTTTCGGGTATGACTGGTGCTCCACCACTTGAATCATACTTTTATCACAGCTTTTTCTTTGCTAAGTAATAGGAAAAAGAATTTTACAAACTTTTCTATCCTGGCTGATTTCAAACAAGGACTCTCAAGCCTTCGTAGTAGCTAGTGTTACAATATGAGCCAGTGGTGTCTGGCTGGTGATTGGTTTGATGAAAATTTTAAAAGGTGAAAAACATCCTGTATTTATATGTATATATGCATGTGTGTATGTATTTCTTATATGGACTGGTACATTTTTTAATTTTTCTTGAGAAATATAACTCAAGCCAAAAGGTCTTGTTTGGAGGGTTCTGAATACCTTAACTATTTAAAAAAAAGTTCTTCCTAACTAGAACTCTTGTATATTTGTTTCCAGAAAGCAAAGATAAGCATGAAAACATGAATTCTGACAGCAAAACGAAACAGTCACAACAGCCACTTCTCCAAAATTCATCTGACTTGAGGATGGGAAGCAAATCACATCACTCTGATAATTTTTCTTCTTAACTTCCTGCATAATATTTGTATTTCCTAGGCAGTTCACTGATTATTGAATTTTACTGTATGTTCATTTAAAATGCAAAATCACTACAACAGTGGAAATTTTCACTTCTTTTTGTAAAAGCTCATGGTATATTATACTGGTAGACCCGAACAGCATGTATGAGAGGCAGTATCTGCATTAATTCTGAACATGCTAAACATTAACCTACAATTCAGTTTCATGGAACTCTTCTTTGTCACAGCAAAATCACTTTTTTTAATGGGCAACCAGGACACCATCTATGCATTTAAGACATGTGAATCAATGTTATTTCTGGTGAATTGTTTGTACCCATTTCACATCTACATAGACACTTTCTATTTTAGAAGACAAGTACCATTTATATTTCATAATCACTGCTGTCCCATTTCTTGGGTTGTTCTCCATAACCTGTCTCTTGATGCCCTGTGAGAAGCATGTATGCAGCCTGGTAAATTACATCAGAGGTGTGCCTATACTATTCACCTTTAAACACACATACAGTATCACTAGTGTTTAGAAGGGATTTCAATAAACAGCACTCATAACATTGCCACAGTGACCAATTCTCATCAGCAAAACAGAACAGAGATCAGAGCTACCTAGACCTGCACCCTATTAAATAAGCTTGTCTGTCTGAGAATTTTGACATGGGAGAGTTGGACATTCTATGTTGTGGTGGGTGGTTAGAGCTACAAAATGAGAGCAAAGCTACTTATTATCCGAAATGAGTCTCCAGGATTAAAATGGAAAAATCTCCTACTTTTTCTGAGAGTATTTTGAAGTCAGCTCATGATGCATTGTGGTGGTTTTGTCTAATATTAATAGTTGTTCTCTAATTGCTGTTAATGATATTGGCTGTTGGGTTGAGATATGAGTTGAAAGTTATGGCTATACAGAAAAGGGAGAGAATGGTATCGCTATTGAAAAACAACTATGGAAAGCAACAACAGAAAAACAAAGTTCTAAATCATAACTATGTTTGTATTTATGTAAAATATGGTCTCTTACCTTTTGTTTGTATTTTAAGTGCCAGAAAGCAGTTGTGGTTTTTGTCAGTTGTTGCTTTGTGACCTTCCTTTCCCCTCAGTCTCTCTGATGTACATATTACCATTCTTCAATGAAGTAATAGGGCATTTAACAAAGATCGCTATGTGCAATACTGTATTTAGTGTTTCTATTTCAATTTTTTAGGATGTTAATTTATATGAAAATAAAATGAATAATAAAATATTTCTGTGACTATTGTGAGCATATTACATAAAGATACTTGGAAATACAGCCCTCCTATTAAACGTTTGTTGGGAGGAGGATGGGAAAAGGAAAATAATCAAGTTATGAAGTAGAAAATAAGCATATCTAAGTAAAACAATCCTGAGAAAATGTTTATGCTCAATCTAGGATTTCTTTTTGGTTCTTCAGAAGACTTTCTGGTCGTCTCAATTGGATGTCTCAACATACCTTAAAATTCCTTGTGTGCTGGATCAAACCCACCTTGTTATTTTGTCCTTCCAACCCTGCTCACACTCCTGTGTTTCATGACACAGTGAACAGAGCCAAGGCCCACTAAGAAACTTCACATTGACATGTCATTCTCCCTTCTCTCTCCCCTATAACCCCACTCATTAAATGATGAAACCCTGTTTTACCTACATTTCTGTAATGTATCCATGTCCTTCATCTCTTGCATTAAAGTCTTAGTACAGAATCCTCTTGAATTACCTTAATAATCTGTTGGTTTTCTCATTCACCAAGATTTGTCTGTGGCCCACATTTACTTTCTGTGGAATTCCTAACACTGTAGTTGTCTTCTTTTCCTTTAGTCTTTCTATTTGCTTTTCTGAAATTTCTTTCCCTGATTTCTTCTGAAAGGTTGGAGTCCCCCAAAGATTTTCCCCAAATCCTGTTTGTTTAGTCATCATATTCCTAAGAATTTCATGAATCCAACCATCAGCTCTTTGGCCATGACTGTGACCCAGCTGCAACCTGACATTCCCAAAAATGTCATGTAGCAGCCCAAATTCTATAAGGATTCACTCATCTTCTCCTCTGGCACTTCCTATGCAACAGACTGCACATCTTGCATTGTTCTGGTGAGAAAGCTGAGAGACCAGATCCTGTTCACTTACTAGCCATGTCCTTAATTCATTCTTGCTACCATGTTGCTTAATCTATAGGATTCTAAATTTTGCCATAAACCCCCACATACTTCAGAGGAGAAAGTTGGTTTATTTAAGCCTTTGGTTATCCTTGTCTTCTTGGAATTGATTGATGTAGACATGGGTAATAGTACAACTGTGGTGAATTGTATTCCAGGGAAGAATGCCATTTTCAGCTAAAAAGAGCTGTGCCAGGAGAAGTTTCTACTCTATTTTTTGCTTGTGCTTATAAAGGATTTCAAGCCAGAGACTATGGTGGCCATCATGAAGTACGAATAGAAGGTTGGAAGTCTACTTGTAACATAGAGCTCAAAATGGAAAGCAACTTCATTTCCTTTCTTCTTCCTTTCCATTTCCTTTCTTCCTTCCTTCTCATTCTATCTTTCCTTCTTTTCTTTCTTTTTCTCTCTCCCCCTCCCTCTTACCCTTCTTTTCTCTCCTCCCTCCTCTCTTTCCTCCCTCTCTCCATCTCTCCCTGCAGGCCAGCCTGCCTTCTTTCATTTTGTTTAGTACTAATAGTGGAGTTTGTTCCCTGGGCCTTGTGCTCTAGCTTTTTCTACTCACAGTTGACCTCTTTCATTTGAACCAAACCTTTACTTCTGGGTTTTTCTGGATAGTTGGAAGCAAGAGTTTTGCTTTTATCTGTCTGGCCTTCCTTCCAACCTTGATTCTCAGATCTCAACCTACTGAGTAGCTAGGCTTATAGTGTGAGCCACTGACACCTACTAGAACTACATTCTTGATTGTGTTGTTAAGGTATTGAATTAACCCAAATCAACCAGACCTAGATCTTCTTACCTCTGGACTTCCTATCTGTGAGTTTACTCTTCAATAATGATACCACTTTTTAAAACTAGAGATTATCCTAGTGTATTTTCTCACATAGTTAGTCCATCAACAGGATCCTGTTGTTTTACTTGCCTCATTTCTAGAACTATTCTTACTACTTTGGTTCACGGTCTTATCAGTTGATTCTTACACAATAGTCTTTCATGAACCTCCCTGTCTCCAGACTCACAGTACAGTCAGATTGCTCTCAACAGTGAACCCTGTCTGTGTTAATGGTTTCTCTTCACAAGTCTGTTGTCTTTGGCAAGATGTCCAGGCTTCCTCTTATCTCTATTCCTGCTCTGGTCTCCTCACAGTGTGCTTTCACCTTACACCTTACGCTGGAAACTCTGAAACCTGTGTTCAACTCTGGACAGATTGCTTTCAACTCCACATGTTTCTGCCCAGCTAATTATTGTGCCTGGTGGTTGTTTCTCTGATCACTGTTAGTTGTTTGGATGTCATTGTTATTTGTGTGATTGTGAAACCATCCGTTCTTCCCTGTATTCTTCATTTTTGCTATATCAGTGGCTGCTCTATCACAGCTAATAGGCATCATGGATCCACTGTCTGCCTATCTTCCCTACTAGAATGTAAGCCACTGCATGATAAGGGTATTCTATACTTCATGCCAATTTATGGTGGATCTGAAGGATAGTTTTACCTACATTGTTAAAGATGCATGTGTGTGTGTGTGTGTGTGTGTGTGTGTGTGTGTGTGTGTGTGTGTGTCTGTCTGTCTGTCTGTCTATCTCTGTGTCTATGTCTGTGTGTGCTGGTTCTGAGGCACTCATAGCTGGGCACTGTCTCTGAGCTTTTTTACTCAAAGCTAGTGTTCTACATTTGATCCACAGCTGAACATCCAGATATTTTTGGTGATTAATTCTCCAGTTAAGATTCTCACAGACTTTCTTTCCTGGGGTGGCTTTGAACAATGATCCTCAAGTGGCTAGATTTACAGACCAGAGTTACCTGTACCTAGTGCTAAAGATATATATATTTTTTGGTGATCATGTTTATTAGCACAAATGGAGAAAAATAAGAATTCACTGAAGAAATTGTAAGTCACTTGCAGATCAACTCATCTTGGAGCAGAAGAGTTTTGATCATGTCTTAATATCAAAAAGCAAGCAGGCTTCTTTCTCTGAGCGTCTTGTACATTTTACAACTGCAGTTGTACAGCCTCCTACTTTCTGCATACGATAAGTTCTTTGTTTCAGCCAACTCTCAGAGGAGGGGCAACCAGCACAATGCCATCTCCCCGGATGAAGAGCATTGGAATATTCCGTTTTTTGATTTGTATATCTCTTCATACGTCTCCTCATCAAGAAACTGTGACCACTATATAAAGATATATTTTTAAAGTTTATTATTGTTATTATTTGCCAATACTAAGAGGAACTCAGGGCTTCATGTTCTCACTTGGCTATTTCACTCAAATTTGGCAAACTAACACTTGAGTCATGCCTACAGCCTGGTTTTTTGATGATTAATTGGAGAGGGAATTTCATAGACTTTTCTGCTTCCATTGACTTCAAACTGAGATCCTCTCTGCACATCAGCTTCCCGAGAAGCTACGATTACAGCTGTAAGCCCTTGGAGCCTGACTCTTCTTTAATCATGATTCAAGACATATCTAAAATCAGGAGTAAGTACAGCTCTTAAAAACGCTTCAGTTGGAAAAAAATTGCCCAATTTTTTTACCTTTCTTCTATTTCAACATGTTGTCCATTCCATTTTTTCCCCTTGGGACTTCTTGATTATATCTCACCTTAATTGTGACAGCATATTTCCTTGGACCATTGTCTTTGAATGGGAATTTGAATAACCCAAGGGCTGTGTGTTCACAGAAAGTTTTACAGAAACTCTCAACCTGCATTTGTTCTTTCTGTTCGAAGAGATCTTTATACAAAAGAGCTAACATTAACCAAATATGTTCTGCTTCCTGTGTGTTTGGCACTTCCCTTCCTCCCTGTGACAGAGGTTTTTCTCTCCCAAGTCCACTCTTCTTTCTTTATAACTCGTGCTCTTTTTCTAGGAATAGCTATGTCCATTCCCCCAAACACACAGAACAAAGATCTTCTCATATGGGTTGTCTCTTTAAGAGAGGTAAGTCATTGAAAAGTACAATTCGGTGTTCAATAACTTTTTACCAGACTAATAATGAATTTGTACCGAATACTAATAATAATACACCAAAAGTTTTAAATATTTTAAGTTTTATGGCTATAGAATGCAAATCAGTATTTATATCTATACTGTCACTAAAAAAAAAGCCAGAATAAAAAAATTCAAATATAAACCTATAGAAAAGCTAGTATAAAATGTGAATTGAAGGAGAGAATAAAATGATGTAAAATTTTCATTAGGGGAGTATTTCTATATGAACTTTTGATGTATAATAGTATGCATAAAACAGCTGTGGCATTTACAATGTTCTGGAGACATTTAAAAAATCCTGAAATTTTATTTTGAAATACCCATCTACTGCCAATTCGGGATGTCATTTATAAAGTTTGTTAGAGCTGGGTGCTGGTGGCTCATGCCTGTAATCCTGGCTACTCAGGAGGCTGAGATCTGAGGATCACAGTTTAAAGTAAGCCTGGGCAGGAAAGTCTGTGAGACTCTTATCCCTGACAAACCACCAGAAAACCAGAAGTGGTGCTGTGGCACAAGTGGTAGAGCATTTGCCTTGAGCTTAAGAGTGCAAGGACAGTGCCAGGCCTAGAGTTCAAGCCCCACAACCACCAAAAAAAAAAAGTTTGTTAGAGATTAGATAAAGATGTTGCAGAGCAGTAAGCAAAGCATATTAACTATATTGTTATGGATTGCTATAGTATTTTTAAGTATGAGACTAGGCAAGAAAAGTAAGCCACCCTTGACTTCTTTGACACATGAAAACTTTTATGTCCACATGTGATTGAGAGATGAAAGACCTGAGGCTTCATTCCTCTCTGATTCACTCACTTGTGTTTCTAAAATTCTGCAGCCTCCCTCTCATGAGAGTTTTCAAAATATTTGTTGGTTAATAGGTCTGGAGAGGCCTGGAAAATCCCCTATTAAGTAATATAATTGAAACAAGAAGTCTGGTTTGATTGGTGTTAATTCTTAGGCACCCTGCCCTTTTCAAGTTAGCCCCTATTAACAACTGATGTTGGATGTAGACAAATTTGAGGCAAATTCAGAGCTCTCAACCAAAGCAAACAAACATGATCAGAGACAATCAGGAGACTGAAATAAGCTAATGGATACAGAGTTAAGCAAAAAGTGTAAAAAGTCATCAGTGTATGTCAAAATGAATTCTAGTACTCAAAACCCAAAGGACTTTCCATTAAGGCAGCACTTTGGCTAGTTGTATCATTTATGAATTCATTCATTCATTTTACATGCTCATTTACTTCCTTAGGATTTCATTCACAAAGAGGAATAAGGCATGACTTTCATTTTTGGAAACACACACACACACACACACACACACACACACACACATATACACACACACACGAAGACATATTAGTAGAACTCTGTGGTAGAACTGGGCTCCATAGAGTAGGTTAGATTTTCAACTATGTAGATTTAAGCCTAAATTTCTCAAAATTGCCTTTTCCTCTGAAAAAAATAATGAATAAACATAGTAATTTCTGAGGGAGAAGTATGAATCTAACAATGGGGCATGTAGAAAATGTGCACTGTGGGTCATAGTCATGGTTGGGCCCAGAGGAGATAAGTACAGTAGGAAAGATTTACTGGGTATCCAGCATTAGATCGTAAGTGTCATGAGATACTAATTGGGGCAAAACTTAAGGAACAAGTAGGAGATGAGGAGGAACAGCTATTAAAGAAGTCTGTACACTAGGCAGCACTTGTAGGTACAGAGATGCAGGTGCACATAGTTTCTGGGCCTCTGCAATCAGTCTGTTGATCACATGTACATCTCTGAGGCAGTAGGCCAGGACATGATGCCTCAGAGGTGGCAGTATAACTGGCCAAGGCCATGGTGAAGCATATGGATGCTTCTATAAATTGCTTGCTCATATAAGTGAAATTCCAGCCCAAGAAAGCTGATACCACACCTTGTGTCTTTTCTTCACCTTCCACAGCTGGCTTTTCCAATTGTTTCTCCACAAGATAGATAAATTACTTACTTACTTAATTAATCAGTGCTGGGAATGGAACCTAGAGCTTCACACATTCTAGGCAAATGTTCTGCCACTGAGTTCCATCCCCAGTCCCCAAAGAGTAACTTAAAAATCTGTTGAATTTTTGTAATATACACTAGCTGGAGATGCTTTACTGGTAGGAAATAGGCTACTGCTTCAGCTCTTATTCCTGGTGTGCAGGGTCCTGTGTGAACTAACTTGTTCCTGGGACTGCAGCTTCCTCTTCTGCTATTGTCTTTCCTGTCACCATACTCCCTGGGGAGCTGTCTAAAATGCAGCTTCTTGGACTCCACTTCTAGCAGTACGATTGACGAGGTCTGAAGGTAGTGCTAGATACATGGGTTCTTAATCAGATTTGGGAAGCTTTGCTCTAGAAAACTGTGTTTTGTGAATATTATTTGCTAGTTATACCTGGAAAGTGTTCTTTGCTTATTTTTTTTTCCTTTTAACTCAGGTATAGTACTTTTGAATTCCCAAGTGTATCACTAAGGAGAGATACTGTGCCAGGACTAAGTTTAGTGATGGAACATTTTCCTTGGATTGCTCATTAAGAGTTGGTTAATGTTGCATGTACAACTGAGAAACTGCTCAGCTAAGAGGGAGACTGAATCAGTCTCTAAGCAGCTAACAGCAAAGAGTATATTCGGTAGAATATTCCTTCCTTCCTTCCCTTTTTTCCTCTTATTATTGTATTTTACCTTATTATTTTTGCAGTTCTGGAGTTTGAACTCAGGGCTTCGTGCTTGCTCTGCTGGCCTTTACCACTTGAGCCTTGCCCTTCCTCCATGGGCCACTGACTTTGTAGATTCATCATATCTGAAACCATAAAATGTAATTGAGTTTGACACTCTCCATGCTTGGCCCGACTTTCCTGCTCTGCTCCCACCCAGGCTCAAGGCCTCATCACTTGCCCTAATGGCACTGTGGTCATCATTCACATGTCTTTGGCCGCTGGGAGAATCATCCTCTGGAACTCTGAGTACCACTCCTGCCCATGCTTCAGGCTTTTTGACCCCGCCCTCCCTCCCTACCCATTGTGCTCCCATTTTTACAGTGATGAGGGATTATTTATTGTGCTTTGATTCTCACAGCTCACTGAGGACTCCATGCCCTGTCTCCTCCCTAGCCCTGCCTCCAGGGCCTGGCTCTACATCTGAAGGTTTGCCCACATTCAAAGAAAATGACATCATATAGAGAGAAATAGAAATATTAATTTTCTTACAATTTTGCCTAAACTTTGGGAAGGAACAATTCTCAACCTGTGTCCAACTCAGTCACAAATCCACTTCAGTCAAAGCAACACAACATTTATATAGAAAGGATGAAACAAAAGCCAGGAAATACGTGTATTGGGGATGTTCTTTCTTCTGACCCCAGAGTGAAGTTTCAGACCTATGGCTGGGGTTCTCCGTAACATCACTTCCTGTTTTTTTAAGACACAAGAACTCACTGTATTGTTCATGTTAGCGCTGAACTCCTGGGCTGCAGCCATCTTATTTCAACTGAAACTACAGATATGTGCTACCATTCCCTGATCTTATTTAATACAGTCCATGCTTGACTACATTCAAGGCTCTCTATGCTCCTAGCTACCCAACTTCAGTTTCTCTTCTTCCCTCCTTCTCACACACTTCTGCTTCTTGGATTTGAGAATTTCAGCCCCTGGAGAAAAGCTCCTTCTCAATTTCTCTTAGGAATGGAGAAGCTTTAGGAAGCTTCCATTTTGTTTTACTTTAAAATTTTATATTTCAAATACTTCAATGCTTTTCTTCTCTCAGGAAGATTTTCCTGATAAGTATAGACTAAGCGAAATGAGATATGGTCAGCTTACAGCAAATACAGAAGATCTTCATTCATGTACTTACCTTCAGATTAAGAGCCCAAAATAATTGAGGGCAAAGTGAGACAGGATAACTTGAGGAAACTGATGCCTGGTGAAAGCAACTGAGAAATACGTTATTTAGATACCATTAGAAGTGCCATCTTTGCTTCACAGGGAGACAACAGGGTGCATTCCTTCCTGAGAGAATTCCTTCCCCCAACTTAGCCCACCTTCTGCCCCAAATGCAGATAACAGGGTGCCTCCTTATCTCAAGGATCAGAATCTGTTTTATAGCGGGATGCATTCTTACCTGGAAATTCAGAAAGTAATGCCAAGTGTG